TGGCTATTTTTTGGTTGCAGCCATCATTGTTGTTTGGTGGGTCCGGGCTGGATTCAAACCCACCACCTTAGGTGTATGTGGCTGGCACCTTAGCCATTTGAGCCACAGGCACCGAGCCAATTTTCCTGTTTTTAGTTGAGATAGGCTCTTGCTCTTGCTCTGGCTGGTCTTTTTTTTCTTTTTTTTTTTTGCAGTTTTTGGCCAGGGCTAGGTTTGAACCTGCCACGTCCAGTATATGGGGACCACCTCCCATATGTGGGGCTGGCGTCCTACTCCTTTGAGTCACAGGCGCCGCCCCTCTGGCTTGGCTTGAACTCCTGAGGTGAAATGATCCTCTAGCCTCAGCCTTCCAGTGTGCTAGGATTTCAGGCATGAACCACCATATCCAGTCTGTTTTGTTTAATTGTGTTTTGTATCTTTTCTGTTGGTAAATAGTACTTTGTGTATTGAGCAAATATCAGTGGTTTCTATAATAGAATGAGAATCAAGCTTTTTTAGTTGGGTTGCTGAGAACTCTTGAGAACAGAGGATAGGGTCTAAGAAGCTTTAGACCACATAGATCGTATATAACTTTAGAGTCTGAAGAATTCACTGTCCCATCAGTCCACAAAGGAGTTTATTAGTCATTTTTCATCATATCAATTTTTTGTGGTAGGAGTTAATTCTCCCACTTCTGTGTTCTAACCTTTTCATGAGTCCAGGTGAATTTCCGTTTAAAGTTCTTCTCTGGATTACTAAGGAGGGGCAGAAGGCCCAAGACTTCTCTTGGGATATGGCCTATTTGAAAAACATCTCTCTCTGGCCTGGAGAATAAATGAATAAATAGCTCTGTATTCTATGATTTCCGCTTGTGGGAGTTGTGACTGTCCAGAGATTTAGTTTTCATGACTAATTGGGATTGAGCTCCACATCCTATCTGGGCACTTTGGATTGTATTGGTGAATGCACCAGTGAAGCAGTGTAGTCTGAGTATCAAGTTGCCAGTACTTAAACCTCTCAGAGTCCTTGATTTTATAACTAGATATTGTGGATACTCAAGCCAGTTAGGAGAACTTTTTTTGGCATTTTCTTAGGATGTGGCAGATCCTTAAATGCCTCAAGCAGCCCCTTGGATGTACTTGAGAAGGCATGAAAAATGACCCCAGCCAGACAGCTCCTGGTATTTAAAGGTGTGCGTCTCCTCCAGCAGGTGTGATTAATTTTACTGTGGTGGGCATGTGCTTATAAATTTACTCAGATGAAGGGGGAGCAAGGAACAAGGCTGCAGACAACAGCAACTATAATAGCCGTAACAACAGATGAATGAACAAACTGAATACAGTTAGAAGACAAGGTGTGCTTGGGTGCCAAGCCTTGAGCCTGCAGTCCTAGCACTGGGAGGCCCAGGCAGGTGGATTGCTTGAGCTCAGGAATTTGAGAGCAGCCTGAGCAAGAGAGTGAGACCCTGACTCTTCTAAAAATAGAAAAACTAGCTGAGCGTTGTGGCACATGCTTATCATTCCTGCTTCTAACTAGGGGTGACTGAGGCATTAGGATCACTTGAGCCCAAGAGTTTGAGTTTGGTATGAGGTATGATGTCACAGTATGTTCCCTAGGGTGACAGAGTGAGACTCTGTCTCAACAAAAAGAACAAAAGAAAGAGGACAAAGTATATGTATTCAATGCTACTGCTTTGACTCATACTTGGAAGAATATGGGTCCTTAGGTCTTGCATGTTGGATATTAACATTGAAGCATCTCTATTCCAATAGGAATTTTTGACACCATTTCAGGGTCTTGCCATTCAATTCTTTTTTTTTTTGCAGTTTTTTTTTTTTTTTTACCAGGGCGGCCAGGTTCGAACCTGCCACCCTACCCACTGAGCCACGGGCACCACCCCAAGTTACAATTGTTTTTTTGTTTTTTGCAGTTTTTGACCAGGGCGAGGTTTGAACTCACCACCTCTGGCATATGGGGCTGGCACCCTACTCCTTTGAGCCACAGGTGCTGTCCATTGCCATTCAATTCTAATAGTAACAACCGAGAGTGAGTGTCATACTTAATTCCTTACAAAAATGACCCCTCTTCAGACACTTGCCACAAGTTTCCTTTGTCCCTAAGTGACCTATTCTCCTGTCAGGTGACTCCAAGTTTGGGGCTTACCACAATCCCCTTGGGTTTGATAGTTCACTAGAGTGACTCACAGAACTCAGAAACAGGCTACATTTACAATGAAGATGAAGAGATAATGAGGGCATAATGAAGAGATAATTTACAGCGTGATGAAGAGATAATGAGGGCAAGGTCTAGGAGGGTCGGGGCACAGGAGCTGTTTTTCAGATTATGCCACCCTCCTGGGACCTTAATCTGTTAAACAACTGGGGAACCTTCCCTGAGCCTTGGTGTTTTATTATGGAGGCATGATTGAGTTGAATCATTGGCTAGTTGTTTGGACTCAATCCCCAGTCCCACTTCCCTCCACTGAGGTCAGGTCCATGGCTAAAATTCTAGTCCTCTAAATCTCTTGCTTGGTTTTTCTGGTGACCACCCCCATCCTGAAGCTATCTAAGGGGCCACCTGGAGACACTCTATTTGCCTAACAAAGATACTTTTTGCACTCAGGAAATGCTGAGGATTTTTGAAGCACTGTGCTAAGAGGTGGGGACAAAGACCAGATATGTAGTATATATATATTCATTATACCATGGCATTCCCAATGATCATGGCATCCATGGCATGATTCCATCCTGTGGTTATTAACTAGTCAGTGTCTGTATTAAAACTGATAGATTTCAGCTTTAAGGTAGCCATAGTAGGATCATGAATTCAAAGAGTTTTGTAATTAAATCAATTTAACCATGTGTTAATTCTGACACTTGTTTAGGATATTGGGTTTCCTTGTTTTTTTCTCTTCTAATGTTTTTTTTTTTTTTTTTTTTTTTTAGACCTATAACTCTATGTAACAATTGTTAGTAG